GTCGAATTGAACATAGACAAGTGTATTGACGATGTACATGTACGTGTCATGACTCCGTATATCAAGTTACCTCCTGCTCCTGCAAGTGGACCTGTGTGTAAACCTCCCTCGTATACTACACTCGTCAACAATACCCGACGAGCATGAACATCTTTTTAAACAGGTTCTTGCAGGGAGCCTCCCCACTTGTGAAAGGCTCCACAAGTGGGGCTATGATGTATCGCCGCTTTGTTTGTTCTGTCATGTTCCAGACACACACTTCCATCGTATCTGGGAGTGTGTCTGCGGGGCTGCCAAACGCCAGGAAGTTTTTAGTCCAGAGTTGATCCAGGACGCCCTGGAAGCCGGCCCCGACCACCCTCTCTTCGCACACTTCCTTCAGCCTGCCCCCTCCCTACCAGAGGTGGCCCAGGACTGGGATTTAAGATTTGTAGATGCTAGCAGTAACGCACGGCCTGCCACAGAATACGATAGACTTCTACACTCAGGCTCTAGCTGAATATGAAAATTTAGTTATAGGAGCCTGTGCTGTTTTACATGTTTGGCCGAAACCGAAGGAATATTTTGGGGCAATTGGCTAGGCCTAAAAAGGCCCGCCGCCCCAGGTCCCAGGGGAAACCTCACCAACCTGTCTGGGACGGCAAAGTTTTCCGTTGCCGTATCTGTTTTCGTAGGTGCTCCAAGCAGAGCACGTTTCCATGTGAAGCCCTGGCCCCGACCTTAGCCGAGCTTGTGCTCACGGGTGGGGGGGAGAGGGTATCGATTGCACTCAGCTCGAATTCAGGGAAGTGACTTGCCTGTTATTTTCTGTGTTCTCTGTGGAAGGTTTGCTACACAGAAGACTAAAGGCCTGTTGGAGAATTGCCCCCGCTCTAAGAAGTCAGGGGAAAGAAACAAGCTCCTTCGAGGCCTCTTGCCTGGCACCTCCTCGATGTTGGGCCCTGCCTTCCCCCTGTCGTTCCTCTGGTCCTCTCTTGACCCCTCCTCCTCCTCAGGGCCCCAACTTCAGGAGAGCAGCCACCAGCCTCCACGGGAGGCCAGAGATGTGGCTGCGAGTGCTGTTGCTGCCCCTGCTGAAAGCCAGGAGCAGGCGCCTGACCAGATCAGGCAAGTTGTGCAGGCCCTCCGCGAGGAGGACGACAACGCCCCCCTGCGGCCTGCTGCCCGTGTAAGCTCTGTCGGGTCGTCGGACTCCGATTGAGTTGTTCCCTGGTCCTTGCTGTGCCCGCGTTCGCCAGTGCTGAGGTTCCTCCTCTGTGCGCTCGTGGCCAGCCCAGACCAGGTCAGGTAGCGGCAGCCCTCGACTTCGAGTTCATGGAGGACCCATTGGAGGTGTGAGGTGGGGAGGGGATCACCCTTTCGGCTGCTGCTACCGGTCGCTGTTTTTGGAGTGGCACTCATGTCAGGGGATTGCGCAATGGCCTAGCCGTATGATCACCCTGTTCAAGTCTTGAAAGTCTTGAAAGTCCCCCAATGGGGAGGGGCCTCAAAGACCTCCGACCCCCGGCCGCCTCGGCCTCGAGGGTGCCGCTAACGCGGGCCCCCCGAGGGGGCCCTCGGATGCGGGCTGCCCGGGGAGGGCAGCGCTGCCACCCGGGGAGGGGGCTCCGAGGCCGCGGACTTGGAGGCCTCCAAATTTATGTCGGGCGTGTCTCCCTGCAGGGGGATTTTCGGCGGAAAAAAAAATACCCCACAAATGCCCCCCCAAAGGTGAAACAATACTCAACAAATAGTCCCCTGACTATTTTTGACTACTTTGGATTATTTTGGGAATATTTTTTCGTCGAAAATCCCCCTGCAGGGGGACAGGCCCGACTTAATCCTAAATGGGGTCGGAGTAGATGGGGTCGGAGGGTCGGGCCGCATCGACGATACATCGGCGATACGTGGGCGATGCATCGGCGATGCATCGGCGACGTCGGCGATGCATCCACGCCGTCGGCGTGGAGAACATCGGGCTCCGCATCGAGTCGCATCGTCGATGCATCGGCGATGCGGCGCGACCCTCCGGCCCCATCTACTCCGACCCCATCTGGGATGCCTAGAGGACTGGAGCCATCACGGGCGCAGACTCGGACCTCCTCGCGCTATGCACCAAAAATCACGACGGGAGGTTTTTCGCCTTGTTCGGCCTCCGGGGGCCGTCGCAGAGCCCCGGGACCGTCGGAAAATGAGTCAGGATGAAACGCGGGTCCCGGGGAAGGGGTCCAGAACTCTGGGGGTCGACGTTGAAAACAAAAAACACGACGTCGGGTGTCTGCGGAGGCAAGATTTGGGAGTCGGCCTTCCGGAAGGTCGGCAGTCGGCTGGGCGAGCGAGCCCTGCCTGAACCTGCAATGGAGAACGCAAGCCAGCTGCATACGCGCTTGCATGATGATGGGTCAGGCAGGCTCTTGAATCGCGCAGAACGTGAGGAGGAGGAGGGCCCCACAAGGAGGAGGCTTGGCTTGACACAGGCCGGCTTGGCCCCGAAGGCGCTTCGGCAGCAGGCGGCACAGCG